GCCCCACTCCTCTCCCAGGAGCTGAGCATTAGCCCAGGAGGAAGGGCTGGATCTGGGCCGGCGCTGCTGCTCCGTGAGGCGTGAGCCACAGGAAGGGCTCCACAGGTCGGCCAGCAGCTCAGCGCTTCGCTCTCCCGGCCTCGCACCTGGCAGAGATGTGCAGGGCCGGGCGCCTACAGGGCTGGAGGGAGAGGGCGGGGGGTCCGTTCCACCCCTCGCCTCCCTTCCACAGGGACAAGTGTAGGAAGTGCTCTTTTGGAGGCCAGCACCCACGGGCCGCGTCCACGGCTGCCGGTGCCTGGAGCCGGGTGTAGGGATAGCTGTTCACAGGAGTGGTCTGGGAAAGCCAGTTGCCAGCCATGGGGGCCTTGGGGGCCACTGGAGACATTGGGGACCGTGGGAATTGCTTGCCAGGGAAGGACCAGTCCCACAAGGGGCAGAGCCTGGGAGCCACGTCTCCCGCTGGCCATCTCCCCTGAGTGACAGTCCTAACGGCCCAGGGTGAAGAAGGGGCCATTGAAGGATTCTGCTGCTTGCATGACATAACAGCAGGAGCAGCAGCTACCGCTGGCCCAGGCCCTGTGCAGAGCGCTTCCCGGGCGTTACCTCATTGAAGCCTGGCGTTCACATCTTTTTTTTTAATGTTTTTATTGATTTTAAGAGCGAGTGGGAGAGGGATAGAAAAAATAGAAACGTCGACGAGGGAGAAGCATCATCAGTCGGCTGCCTCTGGCACAGCCCCTTCTGGGGATGGAGCCCACAACCGGGCATGTGCTCTGACCCGGAATCAAACTGTGACCTCTTGGTTCCTGGGTCAACGCTCTACCACTGAGCCACACTGGCGGCCAGGGGTTCACGTCCTTACTGTGTCTCGATGGATGCTTGGCGCCTACAACAGTGCTGAGCACACAGTCGGTGCTTAACAGTGACTGACTGAATAAATGAACAGATTAAACCTTGATTTGTATTAACCAATGTTACACCAATAAATCGAATTTTTAAAGAACATTGATAGGGTCCAAAATACAAAAGGTGCATAAGGAGTAACTTGCTTTCAAGTCTCCTCCCTGCCTGTCCCCCAGCCGCTCCTGTGACCACTTTCTGGTGTCTCCCCTGAGAGGTAAAGACCTCTCTTGTCTACACAAATGCATATGCTGACCTGCCGTTTCTTTTCTTCCACTTAACCACACACCCTGGCCGAATCCTCCTCCTCTCATCCGCTCAAATAAGGCCCCTGGTCCCCCCTCCCGGGGCCTCGGAGGGAGCCACTTTCCTGTCGCCTCCCTCAGTCCCACGGGGTTTGGGTTGATGGTGAGCGCTGCCCGGGTGAGTGCAGGCGGAGGCGGCGGCTCTATTGCTACACTGCAGACTTCCCCGACACCCACCAGAGCGCGTGCAAGAGGTCGGGTGTCTCACCTCGAGGAGTGGCCAGGAGCCAGGGGACCTGCTGGCGATTTCCACCTCCACCTGTGACTCACTGAGTTGTGGGTAAGTCCCGCTGTGCGCGCGTCAGCGCTCTGTGAAATGGGCACAGCTAGCCGCCCCGGATGCGGAGAAGGGCAGGCAGACGTAGGCGGACACGCTGGGCAGAGATGGCATGTCTCTGGGCGGCGCACGCTCAGCCAGGTGGGAAGTAATCAGCAGAGAATTTCCTGAAGGGCGAGAGCAAGGT